GCGCGGCCCGGGGGGGGGGGTGTGGCGCATGCGCGGCGAGGAGCGGCGGCCCTGTTCCGGTCCGTGTGGCTCAGGTGAGGCGGCGCTCCGGGTCCTGGTCCCGGGTCCCCGGGTCGGGAGGAGGAGGAGGAGCGCTCTCCCTCCGGCGGTGCCCGAGAGCGAGGCCCAGGCCCAGGGAGGGTGACAAGGCAGCCGCGGGTTCGGCTCCAGACCACAGCCGAGCGCGGGTGTGAGAGGCCCGGGGCCGGGGCCGGGGCGGTGGGGAGGGGAGGGGAGGCCCGGGGCCGGGGCCGGGGCGGAGGGGAGGCCCGGGGCCGGGGCCGGGGCGGTGGGGAGGGGAGGCCTGAGTGCCGGGGCCGGGGCGGTGGGGAGGGGAGGGGAGGCCTGAGTGCCGGTCCCAGGGTCAGGGTCTGTCCCGCAGCCTCTCAGCAAAACCCCCGGCGGTGCCGACCGTTACCTCTTACACCCGCAGTGGGTGTCTGTCTGTGCGTCTGCAAATCACTGCGACAACGGACGGTGGTCCCCCCCCCCCCAGTGCCGAAGGGGCCGTCGACAGTAATAAATGTTGGGGCACCAGAGAAAAGGCTCTCTGTGGTGATTTTTTTTTTGGGGGGTCTCGTGTACGGTTTTACACGTGTGCAGTTTATGGATTTATCCACCAAGTGGATCCCGCTTCGTGCTTTGGACGGAGACTTCGACTTCTCGCCATTTTTTTCGCATTCCGGAAGGACCCGGAGGGCAGACGGGGAGAGACCGTTCGGACCCGGAGACTTGACCCGGTCCGGAAAGCGCCGCCTGAAAAGGGCGGCAGAAGCCGATTCGAGAGTAGCTTTCGAAAGGGAATTGGATCGGTACTCGAAAGGGGGAAAAAAAGTGGGGGGGAGTGGGACTGGTTGGGTCGCTCTTACAAAGAGCCGGCGCAGGCACGGCGCGCCGGGCCGAATGGCCTCCTTCTGTGCCGTAAGATTCTATGATTCCTCAGTATGTTGAGAGAGGGAGAGTACGTTTTATTTTATACCTATTGGTTCCCCCATTTATGTACTGCATTATTTCCTGCATCGAGCTTACGATCGAGCACATCATTTAGTTTTGGTTATCCTACCTTTCGCGGTGGGTGCGGAGCGCTCAGGAAAGGCCAGCGAAGCGATGCGAGGGTGATTCTAGGTCATGAAGGTACTTTTTTTTTCCCCCCCCAACTTATTTTCCCTGAAGAAAATCTTGAAGGGAGATGCAATCCCACGCATTTAAAACGAGGCATCAATTATGTGGATGTAAGATTATTGTTCAACTTGAACTGTGGAGTTCTCAGTTTGAAATCACTTCATTTTATGTTCCCACATTTTGATTGGCGCTTGAAAAAAGAACTGAATAAACATGTGGTTGAATAAATGGAATTGTAGGTTACGTGGAGTATGGACAGATGGTCAAATACTCATTGAGTATGGTAGTTTTTATGCTGCTGTGACAAAAGGAACTGTGGTTGGTACTACTGTAGTACAGCGCCTTGGGATGTCCTCCCGACGTGAAAGGCGCTATACAAATGTAATCTTGTTGTTGTTGTAGTGGTTACCACTACTGTAGTAACCAGCCAATGTTACCAAGGAATAGACTTTAAAATATTGTTAAATTACATCAGAAAATTGTTTTTTCTGTCTAGGCTGATCTTAACCAACAGTTTGTAAACAAAAAGTATTGACACGTGTACTGTAATGATTGGATTCAGAGATATCAGAAGATAAACTTTTTCCCAGATTCAACCTGATTCAGAATTAGTACGATGCCATTGATATTTAGTATGGAACAATAGGCTTCCAGGCAGTTTGACATTTATTGTAGTTATGAATTAATAATACTAATAATCCTTGCATTTGATGTAGCGCCTTATCACGTCGTTGAGACGTCTCAAAGCGCTTCACAGAAAACACTGTAAAGTGAATTGACTGTTTTATGGGCGAGATTTATAAGCATTTTGGGTTCAATGGGTTAATAAGATACAATACATGTCAAAATGTTAAAATGTTTTCTTTTAACATAAAATTTAGAAACAAACATTCTCCTTTAATAGCACTTAAGATTCCATGGCTTCATTTTAGAAATCAATCAAAACATTCAAACCGGAACAGGAGTATTTAAAAATTTCGCTATTGTTCAAAAACTTTTGCAAAATAGGTCAGTGGTGTGAAATGTGTTTTAGATATGGATTTAAAATAGTTTGAACACTTGGATTAAAATAATCACACCCACATTCTTGTGCACATTACATTTAAGATTCTGTATGTGACAGAAGTAATCCAGAACACTAATCTATTTTTAACTAAAGCTATATTTTATCCAAGGGTAACATGATGTTTGTGCAGGTACGGATCAAGCTGCGGTATTTGGCAGGAGCTTGTGACCAATGGGGCTGGGGAGGCTAGTGAGGAAGAGGTTTGAGAAGTTTAATCTGGAGGTTGACAAAGGCGGTAATGATGGTTTGGGCAATTTTTGGCTGGAGATGAGGCAAAGCTGTGGAAAAGCAGACTTGGTTTGGTTAGTTGAAGAGAGGCTGAGAAATGAGGAAGGCAGACCTGGAAGCAACTTTTGGTTTTTACTGTACAACCTACATCAAGTTTATAATCCTTGCATTTCATATAGCACCTTATCAGGATGTTGAGGTGTCTCAAAGTACTTCACAGGATATACTGTAAAGTGGATTTACTGTATTTTGTGGACAAAAGGCAACAAGAAGATATGGCATAAATTCCTTTGATATTTGGTTCTGTAGAGGTCATGAAATTACACATCATGATAGTAGTTACTTTGGATGGGAGAGCAGAATGTAAGTTCAAAATGTCACGGTCTACTACCTTAAAGTAACAAATGAGTTTGAGTGCCAGCACTTTCTGACATTTGAATTTTCGACCCACGTGATGTGTTTTGTCAATTAGCAAATGGATGCCAGCTGGAATGAATCTTAGTAGCTGAGTATCTTACCTCATGGGAGGAAGAACTGACACAGGCTGCCTTGGCCTACACCAAGTGCACCACTGGGATGGCTCATGGTTACTAAACGAGCTTCCCCCAAGGGAGGGAAAACCGATGCATGCTCCAGACCACACTAAGTGTCTCTCTGGGAAGCTCTGTGGTACCGAATCAGCTTATCTCAAGAGAGAGACAAAACTGACGAGAGCTGCTTTGCCTCACGGCAAGTGCCCCAGTTAAGAACAGAATATCTTTAATAGGGGAGTTGTGAAGAAGTGGACAGGATGGACATCTCTGCCAGGATGGGTAAAAATAAATAAATAATCCTTGCATTTGATGTGGCGCTTTTCACGTCTTAGAGATGTCTCAAAGTGCTTCACAGAATATACTGTAAAGTGAATTGACCGTATATTTGTGGGCGAAACATGGCAGCCAATTGAGCTCAGCAGTGTCCAACAAACAGTCGTGGATTGAGTTGACCAATTTATTATTGGTTTTTTTCTTGAAGCTTTACTATCAGGCTTGCTCAAGATTTTGCCCTCCTGGGAATCGAACACCAGTTTCTTACTTGCGAGGCAAGTGCTCCCAACCACTGAACTACAGGACTCCACCTGAGGAATTAGTTTGTAGAGGCTGGGGAGGGGGGAAGCAAGTGTTTCACAACTCATTGCAAATCAGGCTTTGTTTCAGATAACCCAATAAGTTGCTTTCATGATTCTTGAAGCATGCATTTTTGGAATGAAATTTCATGGCGCCCAATGAAAGAATGGCCAGTCAATCAGCTTATACGGTTTACTTAGAAGAGTACAAGTTTATTTCTGCAATATAGTTTAGAGAATAACTGAATAGACCTATTTTATTTTGACTAGAAATTGGCAGCATTGCTGAATCTTCTGTATTGCTAAATCTATACTCGCAGACTATAAATACAACTGTTTAGTGTAGTTAAAACTAAAAAAATAAGGTTTGCTGAGTTGTATTGAGGTGAATTTTGAAGGTTTTCAATTTGATTTAGAATGTCTATCTGAAATCATTATTGCTATGTTTCAGAAGGATTATGTGGCACCGTTGTAAAGATAAGATTAATAGAGTTAAGCAGCATTTAACTAGTCAAAACACTGCCTTTATAAATATTATCTGCATCAGATTCATTTTACAATTAAGCTATAAGCAGGATAGTTTGTATTCATGGCAAAACAATTGCCTTTTCATTCAGATTTAGCCACTAGAATCCAACAAAATGAATTATAAAAATCTGGTAGTTGTTTCAGATATGTATACTCCAGATTTATTGACTTTCTGAGACATTACTGCATTGTTTTCTTTAAATATTGATATGAATCTTAACATTACATTGTTTTTGAAAGATTGGTATGTAGAATGTTTAGCTGATATGCTTGTTTTTGAAAATGCAGGTTACAACTAAAAGCATTTCTTCACTCGAGTTGAGAATGTGGAATGTATTGCCACAGAAGGCTAATTGATTGAGATATTTAATGGGGGTGGATAGATATTTGGGGAGCACATTAAAAGGTATGGGGGAGGGCTGGAAATGTGGGAAAGTTGGATTAAAAGACCTGAAACTACTCAACAACTGAGAGGGCATGATATTGATTTCCAAGTTTCTATTTTATTTCATTGTGATTCTTGCATTAGAAAAGTAAAGCTTTTTAAAATCAACATTCTGAAACATAATACTGATTGGGTTTAATTGGGCATTACAATAAGAATCTCAATGTTAACTTTAGGTAAATGAGCAATAAGCAAATTTGTCTGATTGGGAGGAAATGTCGGCAGTGGACCTTTCTAACTATGTGGTAAATCTGAAAGACTAGCGACAGTCTGACACTTGTGGAGATATCCATGAAGCAGTTTATTCCACCATTCTGACTGAAGAGAATGTGGATTAGGGATGATATCTTAGTGGGGAGAAGAATTGGAGGAAGGAGAATAACAACAAGTAACATTTAAGTCATTGAACTAATTTTAACATCTGTAATTTGCGGTATTGACTCTAATGCTATCTCTTTGCTTTTCAGATCTTCGTGTAAACAAGATGTTGGACATAAGAGGTTGGGCAACATACATTGTTGAATGGGCTGCTAAAGACCCCTATGGTTTCCTTTCAACCGTGATTTTGGCGCTAACCCCCCTATTCCTAGCAAGTGCTTTGTTGTCATGGAAACTGGCAAAAATGATTGAGGCCAGGGATCGAGAGCAGAAGAAGAAACAAAAGCGTCAAGAAAATATTAGTAAAGTAAAGAGGGTAAAGAAGGATTAAAAATGTAACCAGCAAACCTTCCCTTTCTTGAACTGAAATGCAGCTTTGTTTGACTATTTCAGATTCACATTTATATTTGGCAATAACTAATGGACAACACCATACCACAGTTACTGATTCATTGGACATGTGCTTCTATTCCCCATGTTCTATGTTTGGATTTTATGATATGCTTCAGAACTAATTTTCTACTTGTGTACTATTTGCTACTTGAAATAACTGTATACACTTGCATTCCTCATGTTCTTGATTCATAAAATCTGGTTTTATAACAATGAACTCGCACATTGCACTGAAGTGAACATTTTCTGTTTGTCAGTAATTCATTCATAAAAGCCAATGCTTGAATGTTCTGATTCTGATGAAAATTATTCTGATTTTGTTCCTAAAATATTCACAAAATACATTCAGTTCTATTCAGCAAACAATCTTAATTCAACACAGAAGTGAAATGTTAAGTTCTTATCATCATGGTGGCTATATGTTCAGGAAGTCAGTACAGCACTTGGTGAACTTCATAAGTTTACAAATGTGCATCAGTTTTAATTAATGTTCAGATCCATCATTGTCATTTGTAGGTGACACTATCAAAGTGTGGTTCTTTTGCATCTCTATAAACAAAAGTCTTGCCAGACTTGCTTTCCAGTGCCAGACCATTTTATGGGGTACTGTTGAAGTCTTATCTAAAAATACTATTAGCATAGAAAATGTTTGGGACCTATTGAATGGAACCAGTTTAATACAATGACCAGCCCAGGCACCTAAGTTTCTCCCCATGCCACTCGGAATCCAGTATGTATGTACTAAGAACATTAGTATAGAGTAGTTATAGATACACTACTCTTAAATAATTGGAATTTGCACTAGTTAATAAGCTATGTTTTATAAGGGTGTGATTTTGTATAAAATTCTACATTTGATTTTTTTAATAAAGTAGAATTCTGCCCATCTCCATGTCTTCTTGGAAAATGGCTACATGCTATTTGAAAGTTGCATTGATCTTTAGTAGCATTATGTATTGAGAGTTGATGGAACAAATCTCATTCCCCGCCAGAGTGCATAGGTGAACAGGGCTGACCACTAATCGCGAGCGAGGTGTTTAGGTGGACAGTGGTGAGGTGACGATTCCCTGTTGATTCTTGGCTACTCCAACTATGTGGGTGAGGAGAAGTGGAGGGGGGTGCATCTTGTGTTTTCCCCTGTTCCATGCACACTTTGCAGATTGCTTGCTCAGATTGATAGATGTTCAAGAGATGCATTGTCCACATGCATGTTCATAGTTTTTTTTTTTCAGCTTTCAATATTTGAAGGGATGCACTATTTTATTGCTGGAACTCAGGAAGTGCGTAAGCTGCTGGAACACCTTTGCCTTGTTGACAATATACAAAGTCAGAATGAGATCAGCTAGTAGGCATTGTAGCCTTCAACTTCCATAGCTCTAGGGTTTCTATCCAGGATAAGTTGACATGTTTAGATGACAGTGTAAATAAAATATAGGATAATTGTGTGGTAAATACAATTGGCTTGTCACATTGCGCAATTCTGTCTTCAACATTTTTCTCTTAACTGATATTTGTACTGCCTGTGTCAACATGCCAAAATTATTGGATGAACAAATTACACTGAAACTATTTAAGTGTGTGCTGCTATATCTCTTAAGCTCTGATAATGCTCTTTAGTTCATTATATTATTATTGTTGAACAAGTGTTTTATATTAAGATGGTTAAAGCTGTGATCATGTGGTTTAAGCAAAGGAAAAGGATGTTTGGATACAAAACCTTGTGAAACAAATAGTAAACCGTTCACGCTTCCAAATAGTAAACCGTTCACGCTTCTGCTTGTGTCATGGCCACATTTTTAGTAGCCTATTTTTAGGCTTTTGTCAGTACGAGTAACGCATTGAAGGTGTGTATTGGATGCCAGGTTGAAGAATTAATGTTTTAGATAAAAGTGTAAAAATAATAAGTGGTTTCTTATATTTTGATTCTTTTTTTAATTCTTCCCCCCCCCTCAAAGAAAACATGGTTTAGGCCTGATCGCTGGGAGGTGCGCAAATCCTCAGATTTTCCATTCTTCAGAGGAAATGTTGCCCCATATCGTCTGACTGAAATCAGGAAATTGTGGGACACAACTAAATATATTACTATTATAATAATCTTTGCATTTGATAATGGGCCTTTTGTTTGTGGAGGATGACAGGATTTACTATAAAGTGTACAGACAGTTTATTTCATAGTGAAATGCTATTTTATTTTACATCAACAGACCTCAATAGCAACAGTATTGTTTTAAACTTCATGGTGAGCATTCTACAAAACAGCCTACTGTAATTTGTTGTTCTTGATGTACTAAATCAATGTTCAGCCTTGCTGAAGCAGTAGCATTCTCGCCTCTGTCAGGAGGTTGTGGTTGCAAGCCCCACCTCAAGACTTTGAACTTGTAGGCTAGGATGATACTCCAGCCTAGTGCTGGGAGAGTGCTGCAATGTCAAAGGTGCTATCCTTCGACATGCAGGCGGCTATTTTTAAGGTTAGATGGAAACGCATGGTCTTTGAGTCTCATATGGATGTAGAATCTTGAGAATTCCATAAATAATGATGCCAGAGGAGAATAACTGGAAGCCCACCAGTTTATCCATCTGCTATCTATTAAATTAGATACAATTTAAAGTCTTCCACATGGTTCTTCATATGTTGGAAATTTATGATTTTTAATTGTGCCAAGTACAACAGAAAGCAGGTTCCCTTATCCAATGATTTACTTGAGTTGGTGCAATATTCAGCTCTTTGGAAGTGTGGGTGCCCTTTTGCCAAATATTTTCAAATTACAATTGTTTTTTGGTCATTAAACACAATACAACTGTACTCTTGACTGGTTGAGATGATGCCAGTGTCTAGCAAAAATGTATCTTCTAACCTGGGAATTATTCATTTCCTCCGTGGCTTAATGTGGCTAGATTCTATGCTGTTTTATGGACTCACACATATATTAACGCAAAATTTAACCACCTACATAAGATGTTTAAGCCAACCTACAATTGGCTTTGATAAAATATCAACCATGTGCAATATGTTCCATGCCCCATGCACCCAAGGGACCATGAAAACCTTAGCCGTCTCTAGATAAGATCCTTTTCCGTCGTGCTCAAATTTCTCATCTAGGAGTGGCTATACTCATCTCATGAAAATCACCCCAGCTCCCAGTAAGAGTCAACCATAACAACTTGCACTTATATAATGCCCTCCATGCAGGCTAGTGTCTCAGAGTGCTTAACAGTGACGGAGCCTGACTCTGAACCGGGATGGGCGGTAGTAGAAGAGGAAAGTTTTCAGACTGGACTTGAAAAAGGAGAGAGGGGGCAAGGCGGAGGGATTGAGGGAGAGTGTTCCAGAGTCATGTACAATCTACCTTCCCATGGGCTTCACGTGAAACATTTAAACTCTTGAGAGAACGTTGACCTAAATTTCATCGCCCTGCCCTAAACTCAGTTCCGCAAAACAGCAAAATGTACAGTTTAAACCCTGGACGGTCACTCTATAGATGTTGCTTTAAAAGTTGCCAGAGTATTCTGGCCAAATTGATGGGGTAATATTAAAAGCTGTATCTGTTGCTTAATGAAAATAATGCTATTCACTTTTTTAATAATTCATTGGTGGACATGTAAAGAGTAATATGACGGTAACGGATTGCATTGCTCAGTGCAGAATTCAAAGTAGAATATTGGGCTCACATGTCATTATATAAATGTAATGATGGGAGAAGCTTGGTGGAGGTAGTGACTGAAATTCTAACTCATTGTGACGTTACCATTTTTCAGCTACTGCAGCGGAAAATGTAAGCTCTTGCTTTTGATTGGTTTGCAAAATACTTGATCTACTTTACAGGGTGCTTTGCGCAATGGGACAGCTGATTTGCCCACTGAAGGAAGACCTGGATTTGATCATTGTTGATATATTGGTGTCGAGGCAAGAGTTTGTGGATACATGGGAAAAGATGGCAGTGTACTAGTAGAGCAGTACTAGTCAAAACCAAACCAGCCCTTTTGTACTGTCAGAACATGGGCCGGCTCATTAAATTAGTAGAACTTGAAAAGTTAAGTAAATAAAAATGCTGTGAATTTTATGATGTTGCGAATTAGTTCTTTGAGGGTCTCTAAATTTGTTGCAGGGAACCAAGACAACAATAACAACACAATTACATTTATAGAGCGCCTTTCACGTCGGGAGGACGTCCCAAAGCGCTGAACAGTCAGGTGTCGGGGCCCGAGCATGGGGGAGGGGTGATGTAAGGGTGAGGGAAGGCAGAGAGATGAGAGGGCGACCAAAGGCATGATCAAAGAGAAGGGTCTTCAGACTGGCTTTGGAGGAGGCAAGGGAGGAGGTGAGGCTAAGGGATTGGGGGATGGAGTTCCAGAGTGTGAGGCCAGGGAGGCTGAAAGCCCGGCCACCGATGGTAGGACGGGTCGGGCGGGAGACATGGAGCAGACCGGAGCCCGCTGAATGGAGGGAGTGTTGGTAGGCAGTCAGCAGGTCAGAGAGAGGTAGGAGGGGGCAAGGCCATAAATGGCCTTGAAAGTGAGGACGAGGATCTTGAACTTGATTCTCTGGGGGATGGGGAGCCAGTAGAGTCGGGCGAGGATGGGAGTGATGGGGTTACGGAGTCTGGTGCGCTAGAGTACATGAGCTGCAGTTTTTGTGAAGGGAAGAGTTGAGAAGGCCGATGAGGAAGGAGTTTCCGTAATCGAGCCAAGACAGTAGAAACGTACCCTTACAGGCAGACAATATATTGATCTATTTCACCCTCATTAGTGTGGCGTTCTCATAAGTAAGTTCGGGATTTTGGCTGCCATCAAGTCCAAATGAAAACAGACTGAAATGGTTTAAGTAGTGAGTTTTGTTGAGATTCCCACACTGAGGTTGAACTGCATAAATTCTAAAACCTTCAGGATTGAAGAAGCCATTTAACCATTGCTGTTTGTCACTGTCAAAATCATCAGTCAATTTAATGAGACACTTCCTTACATTTACCTCCTTTTGTTATGTCATATAATATATAAACCACTTGCCTCCCAAAATAATTTTGAAGACTATCCTTATTCTGACTGATCATAAGATATTGGTATGCGATCTAGACCATTAGGGAGAGCTTGGATGCTGTTTGTAAAAAAAACATTGACGAGGTTGCAAGGCAAACAACAACAAATTACATCTGTATAGTGCCTTTCATGTCAGGAGGATGTCCCAAGATGCTGGACAGTCGGATCTGCACCTGAGCTGGTGGTTGTGATCAGGAGAGGTAAGAGGGTGGGGAGGGTAGGGGTAGAAGAGTAACTCAAGGCACAGTCGAA